TATATTGGCAAACTTTAAGTGTGTGTGTGTGTGTGTGTGTGTGTGTGTGTGTGTTTTAAGGGAGAACGCACATGACCCCATAGTTAGGGCTCATCAACTATTGTCTGGAAAGAGTCAACCTAGTTAAACTCTGCAGTCTTTTCAGTGGCCTAAAAAAGTGTTTAGGTGCATACTGGTTGACACAAGAAAAACAGCACGCTCAAGAGGCAAAAAGTTTGGATATTTTATGGAATTATTTCGTTGTTTATTTTCAAAATGTACTTAAGATACAAATGAGCTGTACAAATAGTCATGAAAGTCAATGAGTAATATCTAAGACTCAAATAAAATAAGGAGCTGCCAAGACAGAAGTTCATAGTCCTCCCCCACCCCAGACTCTTCCACATCCAAAGGCCCCTGTATTCTTCTCCCAACCTCCACCACCCACAGACATTTTCGGGTCCAAATTGTGTTTTACATAAACCAACTGTGTTCCCCACCCCCACTACACCTTTGCCACTTCTCCATTAAAAAAAATAGTAAATCGGAATTGACAAGCGGAATTCTTTGATGAAGAAAGCCAACAGCAAGGATTTATCAAAAAAAAAAGTGGCAAGAAGGTAATTATTAGTCAAAAGATGTATTTCAGACAACAATTGTTTAAGCTTGTCGTTACTCTTACAGGGGTCTGTGCCAAAGCAACTTCATTCAAATTCACACCGTGTGGGCGTTAGGCTTCAAGAGCATCTGTAAACGCTGTCCAAGCAGGACTGAAGGCTTTTTTTTTTTTTTTTTTTTTTCCCCAACCAGAGTTCAGAGGATAAGGATCTGATAACTTGTTCACTTACACACGCATTTGAATTTAGACACTGTGGAAAGTTGAACAGTCTCTAGCTTACTTGAACACGCGACTGAAAGCAGCAATCACGAAGCAAAACAATAAACTTTATTAACTCCTGGGACAGATGCAAAGAGAAGAGGATCTTTGCCAGGGCTAGACAGCCCCTCCCCCATCTCTCCCTTATTCTCTCAGATTTCTGAGCGGGAAAAGGACCCACAGAGTTCAGCTTTTAACGGAAAGATGGGCAGAGAGGGAAGAGGAAACTCCAAGGTGGCAAAGCACCAAGCCAGGGAAGGAAAATAAATATGGAGGGGTGGAGCGCAGAGCATTAGAGACCACGTGAAAGTTAGGTTACACACGAAGGGGCAGGAAAAGGTGATCCCCCCCCCACATCCCTGCCCCCCACAGCGATACAAATAAGCTAATCTCTTAAGAAATGAATACACAGTGCGCCAGAGATACAAGGGCCGGGCTAGAGGAGGCTCTCGGATGGAGGAGATGAGAGATGGTGGTCCTTTCGCTTCAGCCTTACCTCGTTGGACAAAATGCTTCCGTTGGAGATGATGTCGGGCTGCTGGTCGGTGTAGCCGGTGACGATGGCCCCGCAGGGATTGTGCTCAGTGTCCGTACTCCTCGAAGGGCTGCAGGGCTTAAGGAACATCAGATCGGTCTTTGCGGACTCTGGGGTCAGGCAGACCTGGTAGCAGTAATTCTGGTTGTGATGGTGCGAGCCGAAGCTCCCGGACTCCTCCACCGGCACCTGGGCCGGGTTGCTCGGGACGTTGGAGCTCTGCACCAGCATGATGTCCGACTTGCTGAGTTTTTTCTTGCGCGCCCGGGCTTGGCGGCCGCAGCAGGTCGACGCCCCGCTGCCACAGCAGCAACAGCAGAGGCAGCAGTCGCTGGCGAGACACGTGTAGATGTTGAGCTTTTTCTCTTTTTGGCAGCGCACAGCCAGCACGATCATGGCCAACAGGAAGATGAAGGACACGGAGCCCAGCGCTATGATGAGGATGAGGGTGAGGTCCAGCGAGCTCTCCCCGCTGCCGGAGCGGCTGGGGCGCTGGTGTTCCCCTGAGCCTCCGCCTCCGCTCCCGCCCCCGCCCTGGGGCTCCACGGCGCCATCCACCAGTTGAACCACCAGAGTGGCCGTGGAGGACAGGGGCGGCTGCCCGTGGTCGCGCACCTCGATCACCAGCTCGTAAGGCCGCTGGGGGTCGCGCTTGGCTGGAACCCGGCGAGCCGTGCGGAGCTCGCCGGTGCGCCAGTCCATGCGGAAGAGGTTCATTTCGTTGCCCCTCACGATGCTGTAGGTGAGCCGGGCGTTCTCGCCGTCGTCCGCGTCCACCGCGGCCACGCGGGTGAGCAGGTAACCGGGCTCCGCCGAGCGGGGCAGCACCTCGCGGGCCGGAGTCCCATTGCGCCCGGGTAAGGGCGCCACGATGGCAGGGGCGTTGTCGTTCTGATCCACTATGAGGATGTTGACGGTGGCATTGCCCGCCAGCGCCTGGGGGCTGCCGGCGTCCCGGGCTTCCACCTGAAAGCTGAAGTCCTTAAGCTGCTCGTAGTCAAAGGACCGCAGGGCGTACAAGTAGCCATTCTCAGAGTTGATGGACACGTAGGTGAAAACGCTCATGCCCTGGATCTGGCACTCGAGGATAGAGTATTCTATCTTGGCGTTGGCCCCCTCGTCGCGATCGGTGGCGCTCACCGCGTAGATGTAGGCGCCTGGCACGTTGTTTTCGGTCACATACACGTCGTAGACCGGCTGGCTGAAGCGCGGCGCGTTGTCGTTCACATCTGACACTTGCACCTGGATCGACTTACTGGTGGAGAGCGCCGGCTCGCCCCGGTCCCGGGCCACCACGGTGAGGGTGTAGGAGTCCCCGGCCTCTCGGTCCAGGGGGGCCTCCGTCACGATGGTATAGTAATTCTTGAAGGAAGACTTGAGGCGGAAGGGCACGTCCCCCAGCAGCTCGCACTGCACCTGCCCGTTCTCCTCCGAGTCGCGGTCGGTCACGCTGAACAGAGCCACCACGGTGCCGGGCGCCGCGCCCTCGCTCACCGCCTCCTTCACGGTGCTGAAGCTGATCTCCGGCGCGTTGTCGTTGGCATCCAGCACTCGCACCAGCACCTTGCAGTGCGCAGGCACAGCGTTGGGGCCCAGGTCCTTGGCTTGCACGTACACCTGGTACACCGGGCTCTCTTCATAGTCCAGCTCACCGCTCACCTCCAGCCGGCCGGTGCGCGGCGAGAGTCCAAAGAGCTCCCGCGCCCGGGGCGAAATGTGGCTGCTGAACGAGTACACGACCTCTCCGTTCTGGCCCTCGTCCGGGTCCGTGGCGTTGAGCTGGATCACTAACGTGCCCGGGGGCGAGTTCTCCGGTAGGGACACAGTGTAGACGGGTTGGTCGAAAGCCGGCACGTTGTCGTTGGAGTCCAGAACTCGGATAGTGAGCAGGGCCGTGCCCGTGCGCTGCTGCTGGGGGGACAGGCCCGCTCCCCCGCCGCCTCCCCCTCCTTCGCCTGCGCTTCCCCCTCCTCCCCCGTCCACCGCGGTCAGCACGTAGCGGTGCACCGCTTGCTGCTCTCGGTCCAGTGGCTTCTCTAGCACCAGCTCGGCGAATCGGTTGCCATCCCCCTGGGTCTGCACGTCCAGGGAGAAGTAGCTGTTGGGGGTGATCTCGTAGTCGCGCAAGGAGTTGGTGCCCACGTCTGGGTCGAAGGCGCTCTCTAAAGGGAAGCGGGTACCCGGCGTGGCGCTCTCCGAGATTTCCACCGTCAGGTCCGGCTCCGGGAAAGAAGGGGGGTTGTCATTTATGTCCAGCACCTCAATCTCCACCCGGAACAGTTCCAGGGGATTCTCCAGGAAGACCTCTAGGTGCAGGACGCAGGAAGGGCTCTGCTTGCAGATTTGCTCGCGGTCGATCTTCTCGTTCACGTACAGCACCCCGGTTTCCAGGTTGAGGTCCAAGTAAGGGGTCCGTGAGTTGGGCACCGTCTGAAATCTGCGAGCTGAAAGTTTTGTAATGTCCAAGCCCAGATCTTCAGCGATATTCCCCACGAAAGTGCCATGGTCCTGCTCCTCCTGCACCGTGTAGTGAAGCTGGGAAAAGACTCCTTCCACCATCCAGAGCAAGGCAAAGAAGAATAGCACAATCATCTCCAAAAGGAAAGGAAGTAGCTTTCCTTAGCCAGTCAGCCACCCAATCACCTCACCCACCACCACGAAAAGAATCTCAGCCCCTCAAAAAAACCAAAAAAACAAATAAAAGTGCGGCGTGGGGGGCTCTTGTAGCTTTCTGTCTTTAGAAATCTTATTCCTTTTGCTTCATTTTAGAGGTTCCTCCAATCCAGCCTCATTTTTCAATCTTAGCTCAGGAAGGGTGACAGATGCCCCCTTTCCCATCTGTAATCTTCCCACTGACCAATTAATAAAATAATGATAATACAATAGTCAGTGTCCTTTATTCCGACAGTCTTGGCGCAACGCGGCGCTGGCAAATCCCAAGGAGGAAATTTCGATATTTCAAGACTGTCCTCGGTCTGTCTTCTTGCTGATGGGAGGAGAACGAGGAGGAGGAAAAGAAGGAGGAGGAAGATGAAGAGGAAGAGGAAGAGGAGAAGGAAGAGGAGATGCAGCTGGCACCGCTGAACATGCCTCTTAATGTCAACGGCTGGCAAACGCAAGAGGGCTTAAACACAGCGAGAGAATATTGTGCCGGAAAAACAAGAAACGGCTCTGCAGCATAAAACTTTCATTCTCTTCATTTCTCCGGTTGAATGTTCTTGACATTTTTTTTTTCCTTCTTTCGCTCTATTTGTAGTTTTTGGCTTTCACAGTCTCGTCTCTCTCTGTCCTCTCCACCGGTAACTGCCTCTCGGGCAATGTGACGGACAGTCTCTCTCCTGCTCTTTCCTTCCCAAGCCTCTTTTCCTCTAACCTGTCTCTTTTCCTTTCAGTTCTTCCTTCCTCCTGCTTCAGCCCCTGAACCTGTGATCTCGGCTGGCAGTTTCTGAGCTCCGAGCGCTCGGCTCCTCTGTTTTTGCGCAGCGCCCTCATTCTGCCAACCAATCGTCGAGGAGCACCACCCACTGACCAAGTGTTCATTGGCCAAGCCGGCCGTCAAACAGACACGTCAGGCGGCGATCGGGCGGGGCGGGACAAAAGCGGCGCCCAGGCTGCCGGGGTGAGTGTGAGTGTGAGAGCGAGAACAGCCCGGCAGGTCCCGAGGCGCCGGCTGGGGACTCTACGCGGAAAGTTCCCAGTCCCCAGCCGCAGGTAATGGGGAGGGAATTGAGAGGTTCCCCTGTTTACATCAGCAATTGTGAAAGCATGATAGCAACAGCTGCGGTATCCTCTCCCAGGAGCGGGATTTCCAGTGATGCTAACATTCTTTTTCCTTTAAGGTATTTTCCCTGCCACTGATCATGGAAAGAAATCTTCGAGAAGGGGAAAAAGTTGCACACGGGCCACCGATCGGCAGGGATCACCTCATTAAGGGACTCTAAGCGAGGTTGGCAGGGGGACATTTAAAAAGTAGATCGAATGTGACATGTGTCAATCAATCTAAGCGTGAGGCTCGGGGGTCCGTGTGGAGAGGAGCGAAGCGTGGGAGCCGGGGCCGGGGTGGGTCCTCCAAAGCGGAGGGATTCACGCGAGGGACTGGGCTGGAGGAGCCCGAGACGTGCAGACGCCTTAGACGTGCCTCTGCCCTCCCTGAAAGCACGGCCACGTACCCGCGGACGAACTGAGCTGGGCACCTGGCTTCTAGTTGTGAGCGCACTGATCAAAGTTTCATTTTCATTTCTGCTTAGGACAGGATGCGGGTCGCCCTCCCGGGTGCCAGCAGCACCGGGCCTTGCGAGGCGCTTCCGATATCCCTGCGCCTGGTCTGGCCCAGAGCCACGCAGCGGAGGGGAGCGGGCGCTGTTTTCGGCTTTTCCCCCTGACCTTTGGAGCTCTCTCCCCGCCGCGCCCCGCCCCGCCCCGCCCCGGGATAGACGAGGGCCCAGCGCTGGCGGCGCCGAGCCGGGAACACAAGCGGAGCCCCGAGTGTGCACCGCTGCGGGTATCTGCCAGCACGTTTGCACGTTTGCACATTGCAGTTCCTGTGTCCCCCCTCCTGTTCCCCGGCCTCTGGATCGGCGTGCGCCCCGGCGGAGCCGCCCGGGTGCCTAAGGAAGCGCTTGGCTAGCTCGTGCCCACTCGCGACGCGCGGGGCCGCGCGGGGCCACGCGGCGCATCCGCGCAGCCAGTGCCTGTGAAGTTAAAACAGCCCGAACTCTTAGTGCCCGAGAGTGGATTGCATGCCAATTCTCCAAGGCAAGATCCCTAAATACATATATTTACAGTAACTCATGGTCTGGTCGCAAGGAACACGTTGTTTATTCACTGAAACAGCACGAGTTCAGTGTCCTTACGCTACAGGATACAGGATAGGAAGGTTCCCTAGCGGCGTCCCTGTAATGAATGATCCAAGAGTAACACCACCACAACCTGCGAGGAAGGCACAGTGGTTTCGGCACAGAGGTTTGTGCCCGTCCCTTCAGTCCGGGAATTCCGAAGCGCCGGTGTCCACCGGCGTGACCGTGGATCGGGGCGTGCTCCTGCGAGTCCGGCGAGTTCGTGTCCACCGCCTGGCCGCCCGCCCCAGAAACCTGGCTCCGGGAGATGGGTCCTGCCTTCCAGTGGGCAGAAGGAAAGGATGCCAGCAAAAATGGCTAATCCTCTTCCAGCTGCAGTAAATTGACGACTGGCCAAAGCCAAGCGAAACCCGCTGCAGTTAAAAAGATTTTAGCTTCACGTCTGGGGCTGAGAATGGAGCGGCAGTATATAAAACGACCTGTGGATCAATGGAAAGGAGATCGTAGTGTCTCCGAATATTAATACGGTATTGCATCTTTATTTCCCTCCCCTTCCCCCTTTTTCTTCAGATCTGCAGGGTGGCAATGAAATGTTTTGAGGTCTTCAAGCTGACTCATCAGAATCACGGAGCCGTGTAAAAATGACGGTAATTTTCCGATATGTTCGTCTGTACGTGTGGAAACACTTGTGTGCGCGCGCCTGTTTACGTGTGAGAGACATGCGGCTGAATGACAATGCAGATCCAGAATTTGTTTGGGAAGGTGGGTTTCCACAAGGGAACCGTACCCAGAGTTTTAGCCGATGTAGGGCGTCTGCTGACTGCCAGAGAGCTTTCAGAAGAGGGAGATGAGAATGTGGAGAGATGGCCAGATTTTCCTGTAAATAATCACTACCTCCACTGTAACACTTGAACTGCATTTTTTTCTATATAGCAGATGTGTTTGGTAACTCTCCCCTCAAACGTGGGTCACAGGCGCCTCCTAGCGGCGAAAGCAGCATAAAGCAAGCCGGGTAATTTTGCTTTCTCCTCGGGCAGGGCTCGCCTGTTGGGGGCTCTGCTGGATTTCTTGGATCACCAAAGCCTGTGTCCGCGCTAGGGAAGCCAGGCCAGGGCCTCCAAAGGCCTCCCTTCTCCGACTTTTACTGTTTCTGGTGGTGACAGCGGAAACAGAGGGGATAACGGTGGGGTCTTCACAGAATAGATCCCAGCCCAACCTCCCCCAGTACAGAGTGAGAGGCATTCCATCGAGGGACCATTGCAAAAGTCTTTTGTTTGAAGCCAAGATTTAGATACAGACATTAGCAGCCATCTCTGCCTCCCGTACCCGTGAACCATTAACATAAACCTGCCCTGTCACACACAGGCCAAAACACTTTAAAATTGCCTTTTAAAAATACTTTTAAAACACAGCAGGTTTACATTCTCTCTGGCTGTGGTACACAGTAGATCCTTCCCACTTGGTTTTTCTTTCTTTCTTTTTTTCTTTTTTTTTTTTTTTTCTCCCACTGCCCTTTGACCTGAGAATTTTGAATTCTTAATGGCATGTACTCCAGCCTGAGCGTGTAGGTCAATGAGATGTCTGAATGAGTAGAGTGTCACATATATCCTGCGTTCACTTTTGGACTCCACATTACTGGAGTGGGAAGGGAGAAGTAAACATAGTGCACGTAATCCTTCCCTCCCACAGCCTTGATCCCAGGAGCACCAAAGTCAACAAACTGCATAAAGGGTAAAAAGGGTAAAAGGGTAAAAGAATTCTGTATTGTGTGGAGAAAGATTATAAAAATCTGTTTTCATATAAGTTGTGGTTTATATGTGAGAGTGATAATGTACAATTCATCTATTTTATTGGGTTCTAACTGCAGCAGAAGTAAGGGGACATTAAGGTTCTTCCAGAGCAGTTAACAAACTTTGAAACTAGGTTGTGGGGTTGTTCTCTTCTCTGTACTTTGCTGAAAAGGGCGGAAGGGAAACAAGTGTGTTAACTAGCGTGTGAGTAAATGAGTGTTTGCAGTGATTTAACATGACTCAAAAGCAATTTGTTTCTAAATCCTCTTATTATTACCATGTGCCCAGAGCTTTGAGAGAATAAGCCCCCCCCCTTTTAAAGAATCAGAAGACAAGATTTTAATTTATTAAAAAGAAGCATTTCACACTCCAGCCTGGACCAGAATTGAGCTAGATGGGGCACTTTTCATTTCCAGTAAGGATAGCTTGAAGTTCAAATGCAAAAGACCAAGACTGAGTTGTGTCTCTTTTTTTTTTCATTTTTTCATTTTTTCATTTTTTTTTATTATATTTTTTTCTGAGTTGTGTCTCTTATGCGTGACCATGAAATAGGTTTATTTGCAGTGATGTAACCCAGCTTAACTGCAGAAGAGGGAAAGCTTTGCAGCCAAGGCCACAAAGCCAGTGTGTTAGCTTTTGTTCATCTGCAGTAAGAGTGAATAATAACTAAAATTTCTGGGAAAGATTTATAACATATGCTCTTGTAAGTATTCAGGAAACTCTAGTGACTGTTACAATGTTTTGAATCCCATGAAGAACAAACCATTCCTTCTTGGAACTGAGAATACTAGATATTCCATTAAGTACAATTATCTTGATATTCAAAGTAGAAATTATTCAGAGCAGAAAAGTGCTTCTCCATTTTGTTTAACCTAGTTAATATTGGTGTGGCTTCACATTTCAGTGTCTTCCCAGTTATCAAACAGGGCCAGCATTTTGTTAAACTCTAAACAGTGAATTAAAAGCACTGAATGAGCTGATGCAGCCCTCTAATGCAAAATGACAAATTGCACTTAAGCAATACATGAACAAGAAAATGATTTATGGATTTTTACAATGGCCTGCACGAATGAAAGCAACATGAATTATACATCCTAATGCTCACGATATAATTTTCTAACAATACTGTTTCAGTTCAGATACCATATTCCTTTCTATAACAGAAATTGACCAATAAAAGGTCCAGAAATATTTGGAAAGCACTCAATGGCTTTGATGCATGTATGTGATATATATGTGTATTTATATAAGTATTACAGATATGCATATACATGTATATGTCTCCCTGGGTATTGGGGTGTAGTGAGTAATTAATATTGAACACATACTCTTGGCAGATCCTTTACATATCATATTTTTGTAGTAAGTTGTCTTTTGCAAACTTAGGTTGTTCTATACTGTCTTTCAGAATGCAAATAGATAAATCTGACATACAATGACAATCTTTATTGCCTCCTGACCTCTTCTGCTGAAAATCACAATGCATTACCTCATCTTACCCATTTCTTCCATTGCTTTGAATGTTGAAAAATCTTATTTTTTAAAAATGCCTCTTAAAAACTCTTCATATTTCTTTTTATCCCTTTCAGAACATTGTTTTATTCCTTAGTGTAATAAAGATGCACTTAGCTTAATAAAAAGTTTGTACACCTTCTTTTCTTCCTCTTTGTTTCCATTTCTTAAAATCTTTTTTACCTTTAGTAGACAAAATATACCCTATTGGGTATCTTGAATTACAGAAGACAAAAGTCAGTCAGATAAAACTTACGTGATACCTGTGTTTTAAGTTGGAAAAATACAAAAATTTAGTTACTTCTAAGTTATGAGGAGCACTGCAAACATTTTCATGTAGCCATTCGTAGCTTGTACAGTGGATGTTTTTCAGATATGTCTAATTTTACCTAAGTGAAGGTAGTGCCTTTGCTGTGGTGCACATTCAACCACAGGAAGCTGCTAATCACCCAGAGGCCTCTAGAGTCACATTATTAGGCTTAATCTTAATTATCCAGTTTTATAAAAAAGAAAAAGAAAAAAAGTGAATCCCAGTTTCAGCTTTTGACAGCATTAATAACCACTCTTACTGAAAGATTACTGAAATCAATGATGTGATTAGGATTGTAAATAAGAACTACAAGACATCATATTTAAAAAGCCAGCTGCTTTGCTAACAGGGAGATGTGTAGGTTTTACTGATGGAGCCCAGAGGCAGAAAATGAAGCTTGAAACATTGAGGTCGATATAGAACAATTTCAAAAATTAATTACAAGTCCTGATTAACTTTATATGAGTAAGGAGTTGTCCAGAAAGAACTCTTTTTTGTTGTTGTTGCCCTTCCCCAGTGGTTTGATACCTATTTGACAGTTATCCAAAGCCATCATAGTACTAGTGTTTTTCTGGTAAGTGTAAATTGTTTTCTTAAGGGAAACTCCTTGCTTTTCTAAATACAGAATGAGATTACCCAAATCATAATTGAGGTTACAAGCCATAAAGCTGTATTCTAAAGAGTTTAAAAATATTATTGGAGACAAACACTGTGGAAAGAATGTCAATCATAGCTTGAAAATTCCATTAATAATTAGAATTAAATTAGAATTACAATAGAAAACCACAACAAACAATAAATAGGTCCTCAAAGAATCACTCCTATTTTCATTGCTCAAATATATAATGCTTTGTATAAGGAACTTGATTTTCATATTTTATATAAGTGATCTTGTAATACCATAGTATAAATGTTTTATTTTATTGTATTTTTTAGGTGAAAGTAACTGGTAGTTTTAAACTCTTGTGTGTCAAGAATTCTTTCATAATATTTGATCCTCCCGATCTCTACAAATGTTATTTCAACCCTATAGATAAGGCCACAAATGATTTTTTGAATGAAAGTAACTCATCAGACTCATACAGAATCAAACCCAAGTCTTTTGATATTCCTGTCCAGATTCATTTTATTACACCTTGATGTTTCTTCAGTCTATCTGAATGGACAGTGAATTAATTTAGACATGTGGTTCATCCACATTTTGGACTGACAGGAGTACTGATTTTGTTATCATAAAAATTGGCTAGTACATCATTGAGTTGTGTCATGGAGGAATTTATAAACATGTTTCACGTTGGAAGTTTTTTTTTTTTTTTTTGAGGTTATTATCAGGAGACTGAAGCTTGAATATGTTCTCTTATAAGAGAATGAGACTATAAGCAGTCATCTCTTTTTTTGGTGCAGAAGTGCCTGAAATGGGAAGTAGAAATTTTAATGAAAGAACAAGGAAACTGATAAGACAAACATGTGCAAAAGAAAGGTAGTTCTGTTTCATCCATCCTGAAAACCACCTAGCTGAACAGAGGTATCAAAAGTAATTCCTATGTTCTCTTAGTTTATCAGGGGTTAAAAGCAAGGGAAAGCAAGAAGTGTTCCCACTTTAACCAATGCAAGTGCTGGTGCTTATTTTCTGTACATTTCTAAACTGGCCTTTAAAAGCTGAAACATGTAAGTGAAATCCAAGTATCATTTTATATTAATTTCTTCTTCAATCTTGTGTTAAAGAAAATGTTTTAACTAGAAAGTTTTAAAATTTAAACTCATTTATTTGAGATTTTCAAAAATTTAAAAAGTTAAATTTATTTGTCACAGCATAAAAATGGAACACAACAACAGAATTAATTTGAAATTTGGGAAGAAATAATCACATGAACATGAAAATGATATCATAATTACTCGTAAGTAAAATCTGTATTAATATTTTGATAGTAATAACTGATGAAAAAAGATTTCTTTGAGAAATGTGCTCAGTAATTCAGAGTACATGTAATGTGGTCTCCATAGGTAAGTGATAGATCTTTCTCATTTCTGACAGCACCCAGCTGTGGCATGAGGTGGTAAATTATGAAGACCATCAACTTGAGACTTAAACAAAATTGGGCTTATTTTTTGCTTCTCCAAATATTTGAACTTGGCCAAATTATTTAACTTCTTTGGAATTCTGGTAAATTGTGTCAGACGTTTTAAACATCTGTTAAAATATGATGATGTATTGAAGGTAGTAAGTCATTTTGAGGCTGAATCTGAAATGATGTCTGTGTACTACTTGCCTATAGTATATTCTCAGTAAATTTAACTATTAGCTTTCAAAATGTTTTGAGATCCTTAAGTGGATTTTATTGAGAATTAATGGCATTGATTTTCCTGGTGGTTTTACTGCCTGTATCCAGTATAAACTATTTACTAGCAGATACAAAAACAATTTTAAATTTTCCCTGTTTTACAGGAAATTATAATATTAAATTGAAGACTAAATGCAAACAATAAATGAAAAATACTAAACTGATGAAATATAAGCTTCAAACCATAAAAAGCAATTTGGAGCTTTTCCTATAAACATATTGTTATATTTTAACACTTTTATTTGCTGTATTTGCTATAAACTCAAATTTTCTAGAGGTTAAAATTTATAAGATTAACCAATAAAAAGATACACTTTAAAAATAATTTTGAAAGGAAGATAGCTCTTTAACTTCAAATACTACATTCTTATTTCTATATTTGTTAAAAATTTAGACTTAATAAACTCTTATTTGTTATACATTTATTTTTCTTCCAGTTCTTTAATGTAACATCTTTATTTATGGTGATTAGCACTAAAATTTTCAAGTTTAAAAACAAATTGGAGAAAATCATTTACTTGAAAATAGGATGAGTTCATTAGAGCATCCAATTCTGAACATGAAGCCTCAGTTCGATTTGAATTTCTCTTCAGTATTATCCAGTAGCTTTTTACACCTGAGAAGTGAAAACTTTCAAAAGCATGCATTGTTACTGATATGACAGGAACCCAGCCCTAGGATTACTGAGAGAATGGAAAACAGATGGGAATCACCGATATATTTCTCAAAGATTTCACATCAGTTTGATAAAGACACATATGCTGCACAAAGGCTTTAGTAACTTCATTAATAGTATAAAAAAGTATTTTAGAAAATATAAGGACTATGAATACTAAACACATGGGGAGTAAAGGAAATATCTGATGAAATAAATTAAGCAACTATTTCTAGAGAAGTGCAAGTTTTGTTGTGGTTGTAAAGGCAACAGTAACACACATTGATGGAAAGAAATATCTAGAAAGATTTGAAGTATAAAAACATAAAGGTGAGGCTAGCTAGCAACAAGTTTTCTATAGATATCATAAAAACCGCAAATAAATCTCATTTAGGGCCAATATCCTTCCT